TCCTACATCTGATTAGTTGAGAGACCTCCTGTCTCCAATAACATCGGCCCAAACAACTTGATCCAGCACAGTTGGTTGGCGCGTTCTGGGTTCCTTCAATTAAACCATGTTATCTCTCAGGACCCTGGAAGCGGACCTCCTTCATAGCAGCACCTGCTCTCTGGAACTAAGTTTCCCCTGAGATTCAGATTCCCCCCCCCCAACTCCTATTGTTAGAAGAACCGTGAAAACTTGGATCTTCACCAAGACCTGGGGGAGGATTCTTTACTTCATAGTGTTGGCCATTTTTTTATTTAATCAGTTTCGTGATTGGGGTATAGTTTACTTCTTAATTGTTGATTAACACTAAGGTTAACATCAGACCTAGTATCAAGTAGTAAACAATACCCCAGTCAAGTAACGGCCAAAGATGCTAACAGTAAACAGCCTAACCAAAGAATCTCGAACATCATTCCCACCAACGCTGACAGGGCAATCCACCATAATATAAACGGAAAGCAAACCTCATTCTTTACCAGCACTGATGATGTCACCAAGTTTGGTAATGAAACATCTGCAAGCAAACAACCAAGCTCAGAGAGCACCAAGAACTCTTAGGCAGAACCTTCTTTGTGCCTCATACTTAAATATATTTAAAACCGAAGAGATTGGACATTTTAAGAAGAGACTGGACAGTGACTTGTCTGAGCTGGTATAGGTTCTCCTGCTTGAGTGGGGAGCTGGACTAGAAGAACTCCAAAGTCCCTTCCAGCTCTATTCTATTCAAAATGTACTGTTTTTGCTACCACTTATAATACCTTCAATGTTACATTCTATTTCTACTTCCACAGCTGTATATAAAAGGTTTAAATATTTCCATTACTTGCTAGACTAGGTATTATAAAGACAGCCTTCAAAACTAAAGAATCTTCTCATTTGAACCCTACATGCAGACTTTCTAAAGAGGTGGTGGACTCTTCTTTTCTGGAAGCATTTAAAACAGTAAATAGCATTTACCGTAAAAATGAATTCTTGTACTGGGCAAAAGGTTGGACTAGATGACCTCCCAAATCGGTAGATTGCCATTGTGACACAAGACAGAAAGGAAAAAGAGAATAGCACAGTTTTCCAAGCGTATTTATTTGTAAAATTGTCAGTGGCTCAGGACTACGCTACGAATGAATTACCACCTATTTTTTTCTCCCTCCACTTTGACAGCACAACAAAAACAGTCAAAGGATTTGCCAGTTTTCCACTAGATTAAAGAAAGTCTAAATAGGAATACTCTACAGAGCGTTTTCAAGGCATGCAACAGACAACAAAACTCCAAGACAATTAAAAGCAAAAATCCCCAAATGAAGATCATTCAAGTGAATCCTACAAATCNCACCTATTTTTTTCTCCCTCCACTTTGACAGCACAACAAAAACAGTCAAAGGATTTGCCAGTTTTCCACTAGATTAAAGAAAGTCTAAATAGGAATACTCTACAGAGCGTTTTCAAGGCATGCAACAGACAACAAAACTCCAAGACAATTAAAAGCAAAAATCCCCAAATGAAGATCATTCAAGTGAATCCTACAAATCATGTAAGTGTATAACACTATTACAAGAAAAGCAATGACTTTGGAGACAATTAAAAAATAAATGTAAGTCACGTGTTTTTGGAGTTCCCACACTGTGCCTTCTGCCACGTTTCAATTTAAGAGAATTTCAGGGAGTTAAAAGCAAATGTTTAGCGCATTTGCATAACCAAGATCTCCTTGATCATCCATCAACGTTTGGATTCCTGAAGATTTCAGTCTCTATGTAAGATGGTAAATCTATCATAGCAGGTATTGATGGACTGCTTTTACAATTGTGAAGATGATGGATTGAGAGGGTACTTCAGAAGAGCAAGGAACTCCATCCTCCCGTCACTCATAAAGTCAATGGTACCCATTAACTTATTCAGGCTTTTTTGGTATGAATTTTGAATGAATCACTGCAAAGTGCTTCTATATAGCAAGCAACATAAAATAGATTCCATTTTACTCTCCATTTCCAACTAACAACTGGGGTCCAGAGTTTCAAATGGCAATGTTACAACTCACGATACCTAGCTATCGTCTTCACAAACCCAAATTATTTATTCTGATGAACTTTAAATTGTGATTCTCACATGCTTATAGCGGAATCTTTTGTAAAGCGAGACAAATAATGACAAGGGGGTGAACTAAAATGAACTGGATGTAATGCAAAGGCTGCAAGTAGAATTGGGGTGCTAGGAGGTATGGATGGTGGCCATGAGGTTGCGGTGAACTGGGGTGGAAGATGTGAAGGTAGATGGCTTTATTGGTACTATGTCTGGTGGGAATCTGAGGGTGGATCACCCTTGGGGAAATTGAAGACACGAGGAATTGTCCCAATTCTTGCCCTCGGTATTCATTTTTGGATCCAAAATGCAGCAATGCAAGCATAGAGTGGCCATTTGTAATCACTGCTCCATGCGCTGCAGTGGCTACCATTGGCTTCTAGGTGCAATTCAAGGTGCTGGTCGTCACCCATAAGGCCCTTCAACAAACTACCTGTTTCTCACGGCTTGTGCCCATTCAGCATCTTTTGGCAGAGTGGGGGGCTCCAAGTCCCCTCAATTAAATCTTGTCTGAGATGGAGAAAGCCCAGCCAGCATCTTCAGGCAGAGTAGGGGGGCTCCATGTCCCCTCAATTAAATCTTGTCTGGGATGGAAGAAGCATACCTGCTCTATCCTCTGGAACAGCATCCCCCCCCAGAGAAGATGCCCAGTTTCTTAGGATTCCAAAATGTTCTTGAGATGTAGCTGTGATCTCAAGCCTGAGCTTATTTGCAGAACGCCTGTTGTGCGAGTAGTTTTTATTTGTTTTATTGCTACCATTGTTTTTTTTATCTAGGCCGCTAGTCTGAGTAGCAATGTTTTTTATCTTAAATTTGATACTGGATAATGTAAGCCACTCAAAGTATTTTGGGCCGGGACAGCTGTAACAAATCATCACCATCCACGAACAAATTGCTCAGCCTAAAGCAGTGTTTCATACACTACTTTCCAGACAAGAGTTCTTAACTGAGCTTGCCTGGAAAAATTACGCCACAGCTAATCTAATAGTAACTTGCAGTATTTTGCTTTAGGGCAAGAAAGAAAATTCAAGGCTGCCATAACCTAGACCCTACTATTATGCTGTGCTATTTACACACACAAAAAAAATGTGTCTTGTTTCCAAAGGCTCGAATAAGTGTAATATATGTACTTCATATCTTAGGGTACTCAGTAAGGTTTTAAAGTCACTACCTTCTAGATCTTTACATCCAGAAAACATAAGCTGAGCTAAACAAAGGAAAAAAAATGTTTTTCATTCAAAAGTGAAGAAATAAAAGTTTTATTCCATTAGTTAATATAAAACTGTCTAGGATTCCATTCTGGTTTGGGAGAATGTAATACGTCCTTCATTCTTTATGTCTTAGGAAGAAGCCTTTCTACTCCATGGCCACCATCTCTCTTAAATCACTGTGATTCTATTTTATTTTGGGGGTTTTTTTAGGTCTATGATACCAAAACCATCAAAATGATTCCAGTTTTCTCGTTTATTTCAACTGCTTCCTTTCCCAGCCCATAAATAGTATGTATTTTTAATATCATCTCCTTTTTGCTTTCTCTGTTATCTCCTAGATCTCAAAATGTAGATTTTAGGGTCATATTAGTATATGTTTGTGTACTGATCTCTAAGGCATCATTAATACAATATTAGTATCAATCCACATGTCCATTAATGACCATTGGAAAAAAAGAAAAATAATTACCCTTCATCTGTGTAGCAAAAGTGAGTGCCAGTTTGGCAAACAGATCTGGATTTTCGAATTTTTCATCCTTAGCTTTTACCCAAAAACAGTGTTCCTGTATTTCGTGCGGTTCAACCTGCAATGAAAATGAGGCTAATTATAGACTATCAATTTAAATCACTTAACCCTCCACAAATCATGACAGTGGCAGATCATCACATCTGTACATCCTGCAATCAAAGCAAATTATTCAGAGACTGAAGTTTTCAATCTTCTCCATTAAACAAGAAAAAAAGATGTTAAAAAAGGAACAAAACCATGTATTTTAAAAAAAAAATGATAGTGAAACTGCTTCAATAAGAGTAGGGAGCATCCTATGTGGTACTTAGCAGATGTCTATGGAGATGCTTAACCATCCAGATCATGGTTATCCCAAAGGTGCTTTTTCCAAAAGGTAACTGGATTTTCTTAGTTTTTTTCTTGGAAAACATTTCACTTCTCATCCAAAAAGCTTCTTTAGCTCTGAGCTGAAGAACCTTCTTGGTTAACAACCAACACATTTGGGACTACCTAGCTGATGGTAGTCAGCTAACCTTGGAAGTTGAACAGGATCTACTTAGTATTGGGCATAGGAAATCAGCAAGAATTCCTAGAGATATAGACAAGGGGGATAAAAATAAAAGTGTCTCAGAAGAACAAGACAATGGCAATGTACTTCTGTATTCTTGCCAAGAAAACTTCATGGACTTAACTTTTTTTAACACAACTGTTGTTTTAGGATATGTGTGTTTTAAGACAGGGGTCCCCAACCCCCGGTCCGTGGACCGGTACCGGGCTGCGGCATGCCAGCAACCGGTCTGCACAAACAAGCCCCATCTGTGGAATGCAGGCAGCACACAAAACCACACACTGTCCTGTCCATGGAAAAACCTTTCTCCAAGGAGCTGGTCCCTGGTGCCCAAAAGCTTGGGGATCTTTGTTTTAAGAGGAGATATGGAAAGCTGTCCAACTCTTTTCCCTTTGCAGAATCCACAAAACAAAAACTGAGTTTGTTGTAAGGAGCCCTTATTTTTATATTCTTGGGATCTAGGAAGACAGCCTTCCCTGCTGATGTCCACACCCTATGGAATATTGTTCCCCCAGAGGTGGCAGGCCCCCATTTTCCTGGTTTTTTTTGAAAAGGAGCCAAAATGTGGCTCTGCAGCCTTGCATGGGCAGTCCAAAGGAGTGGTCAGTTAGGGGTTGATTAGTGCCATGAGAGCAATCTCCTTTGCCTCTGTCAACCAATCCTTGGCTCCATTAAAAAAAAAAGTTAACTCAAAATTTTAACTCTAACCTTTGAATTTATATACTGTTTTACATCTCGCAGTTTTATTGTACACAGTCCAGAGTCCCTTTTGAAGGGAGATGGGCGGTTTAGAAATGTGAAATACGAGTAAAATTAATAAATATTTCTCCCTGTTTGCTTCTCAAAATCTAATCCATTGGAATTATGCTGCTATATTGGACATTACATTGTGAAAATGAAGATCTATCCAAACACACTTTCCAGCTCATATCCAATATGATAATAAGTAGTGTTTATAGAACGGAGCAGACTGTTTATTGTGTTGTGCTGTGCATTCATAATAAATACACACCTTAGAACAGGATAATCTTCAGATGTTCCTATCTTCAATTTATATAATATTGTGTACATATTATGAGCTTCCTACTGCTCATCTACTACAACAGAATACATAATAATAAACTGATTTATAGATGCAACTTAAATCACCCAAGCAGAGCCCAGAAAAGTAAATTATTAATAAAAAGCCAGCAAAAACAAAAACAAAACAGGTGCCTTGCAATATCTATTTTATTCTCCGTATACATGTAAAATCTGCAAAATGTGTTAAGGTTTCCCCCCACTTTCCCCCCCACGGAGAAATCAAGATTATTAAAACCAAAATTACATCTCCTGCCCCAACAGACCACTTTAGTCTGCCTGAGATATTTTTCTATTAAATATGATATTATAAACTAGTTTATGACCACAATGGTTTATGATGAGTTTTTAAAATATTTTATTGAATCTGTTACCTTTTGCACCAGAGGGAAAAATGGTAGATTATTTATAGAGATATATAAAACAGAGACCATGTCCATCACAACTCTAAGTAAGAGCTTCAATGTCGCTTGAGAATATCCCCAGCCACTAACAAGGGTTAGAGATTAATATCTTAACCGCTCATGGAAACACAATTATCTTCAAAAATAAACAAAGATTAAACAGCAGCATTTGTATATTCAGATCTAATTCAGCCGCATGAATTAGGCATTACAGATTGTCCTTGAGTTACAACGGCAATCGTGACCAGGATTAAGTCGTTAAGTGTTGAAGTCCTTAAGCACGATAACGCATGACTATGTCGTTTAGTGATAGCAAATTCAGATAGTCCTGTTTGTCACTGTAACCAAAAGACATGTGGATTGTTAACCGGGAAGCAGAGAGAGTCCCAGGTAAGGAGCGCAGGTGTGCTGCAGAGTTGGGTGGGAGGGTGGATAAGGCCTTGGGTGGCTCAGCGCAAGCCACAAAAAAGTATGTGGGAATGCTGCAGTGTGGAGGAAGGAAGGGAAAAAAAATATCCGGGTTAAGGGCATGTATGTGTGCAAGCATAGGGAGGCCAAGAAAGGAGGGCAAATGGTGTGTTTGTTCATGTGTGTACGAGTGCAGGAAGGCTAGGGGAAAAAAGTGCATGCTTGTGCGCAAACACAGGCTGGTGGGGGGGGAAAGATTTACTCACACAATTTGTGACCTTCTTCACCAGCTTCCCCATTGACTTTGCTTGTGGGAAGCTAGCAGAGAAAGTCGGTGATCTCATAAGTGCAGGATGCTGCAACTGCTGGTAAGTGCAAACTGGTTGCCAAGGGCCTGAATATTGTTCACGTAACCCCCGGATGCTGCAATTTTGGGGACTGAATCTAAGTCCATTTGCTTAGTGCCATCATAACTTCAGACAATCACTGATCGTAACTCAAGGGCTACCTGTATTCTCCTTGACATTAGAAAAGCAGAGGGCAAGCATTCAGGATGTTTGATAGACATACCTTTGCCCAGTTGATTCTCTTCATAGTTACATCCAGGCTGTACTTCTTCTTTGGCTTCATCCCAAAAGGCAGCACTGGTGCAGTTACTACAGAAGGAATGCCACCAAAAGGTGGTGGTGGTGGTGGTGGGCCACCAAACATAGGAGGAGGAGGAGGTGGCGGTGGAGGGCCTGAAGGTGCTCCACCTCCGGGTAGTGGTGGTGGTAGAGGAGGAGGAGGAGGGGCAACAGGAACCATACTACCTGGCAAGGGAGGAGGGGGTGGTGGAGGAGGAGGAGGAGGAGGACCACCACCTGAAGATACAGAACCCTACAAAAGAAAGTTTTGGGATAAGGAGACAGGAAGATGAAAATATGTCATCCACAGGCTATTAAAAGTACACATCAAAGTTTGCTTTCAATGGCAATCAAATATTCTCCTCATCCTGAGGGGTCCTTGGTGCTCTCTGAGCTTGGTTGTTTTCTTGCAGATGTTTCATTACCCAAACTAGGTGACAACATCACACTAGGTAACATGATGATGTTACTATACTTAGTTTGGGTAATGGAAAACAACCAAGCTCAGAGAGCACCAAGGACCCTCATTTCAATCCTGAGTTGCAAATATTCCCTTTTACTGGTCATCTCATTCTAAATATCTCCCAACCAAAATGGAAGTTCACCCAATTAGGTTCTGTTATATTTTATTCCAGTATTTCGCTGATAATAAGTGAGAATATGGTCAGAGGGGGGAAAACATCATTTTCAGATCAGTTCAGCTATTTAACAGATTATTTTTAGCACTTCATTACAGTAAGAAGCAACAAGTGTCGTGTGTAACTTTGGTTAAGAGTTCCTCCACGTTAAAACAGATCAAGAGAATTAATGACGCGGACTTCCGGTGGCAGGCGATTTCGTCGGTCGCAGCTGTTTGCTGCCTCCCGCCTGTTTTGCGTAAAAGCCGGTTTGACAGCCAGCATCAGCTGTCAAACGGCTTGATACCTTTCCCCTGGGCATAAGGGGATAGGTGAGCTGCCCGGGGTAGGAGTTGAGTTCCCGAGTCGTCCTATATGGACGATGTAGGCGAGA